CTATCAAGCTTTTTGAAGTTCCCTGATGGAATGGCACGGCAATGTGAAAATTCGTTGCTGAGTCGATGAAATGATAAAACCCAAATGACAAACCTTGAGGTGACTTCCATTCAACCACATCAAAAGAAACCATGTCATTGAATTCTTTTGGAGTTGTCAGACGGGCTGGCCGAGCTATCTTTGGCGCTTGCTGTTCATGGCAAACATCGCACTGGAAGTCCTGGAGGGCCTGAATCACAGTTTCGGACCAACCTTCACTCTGAAGTGCAGCTTTCATTTGGGCATGTCCTGGATGTCCTAGATTCTTATGGACCTTTTGGATCATTGCTTGCAACTTGTCGGGCAATGCTCGGAACAGAGGACCATGACACAGTCGGTGGGACTCAGGGAGTACTCCATCGGCATTAGGGGCTGGTGGCTCTTTGGTTGATGGTGTCGCTTCTGACTCTTCCGTCTTGGACTGTGACTCAGTTCGCGGTCGCTTAGATACAAGCTCGTCCGGGGCCTGTTCATGTGGTTCTTTTGGAACCGAGGCAAACATGGTCACTATAATAACCGGGTAGGTGTACCACCACGAATTTGCTGTCGGTGCGACAATGTGTTCCATTGTTCCCATTGGGAGTCGACAACAAGCGAGTGATCATCCCTTTTTCTCCCAAAAGCTCTTCTGAAGGGCAACACGGTATGGCATGACTCGGGTGGAATACGAAGACGGTTGATTCCCCTACACACATCAATGCCCCCTATTTTCATGTTCGAAAACAAGTTTTGGAGCTTGGTCATGATGGGCCCTTCAGTGATCCACACTCTACCTACCCTTGGGGTGACCTGGTCCACATCTTGGAGAATCGCTTGTAGCTGGCTCAACTCTCTGGCAGTCGCTGGGCTGCTGTCACTGGACTCTGACGTGTGAGGCGGTGTTTTCCCTTCAATCCTACGGTGTTTGTTGTCAGGTTCAAGAATCCCAAAAACTTCACACACCTGGTTAGATCTTTGAGGCTCTTTGCTTTGGACGCTAGTTTGGATTATTTTTCCCAAACGACAAGCAAAGGTTTGAGTGTACAGTTCAGTGTACCTAGACAACGGAATTCGCCCTAGTCCAGGGGCCGCGCAACTCCCGGCGATCTGCAGATGGTCATGAGACTCACGACATTGCCACTGCTCCACTGCTCTGTGCATGATGGTAGATGTGGTCAATATCTGCGCGCGTTTCCGGAGAAAGGCTTCAGGCCGATTGGGGTGTCGGAGGTTGCCCCCCGTGCACATGTCGAACTTCACCTGATGAGTATAGCGCACAATGAATGACAGTTCACCTTGAAATATCATTTCGGAGCCGGAAGGCTGCTCTAGATGAAAATGTGTGTAAGACCCTCGACCAATCTGCAGACGGCACAGGGCATCGCAAACAAGCAGATGTGTCTTCTCAGCCATCCGAGCTGATCCGATCTTGATCGCGAGTTCTCGAGACTTTCCGGCGTTCAGATGGCACCAATTCGACCACGGACCACAGTTCGGAGATGTCCAAACATGCCTAGGTTTTGTCACCCATAGAAGATCATACAACTTACTTCGACCATGAAAAGTCCCGAGGTCACCATGTTGGCGACAGAAGCGCACGGCTTTCAGTCCCAGATTCTGTGCCTGACAGGTGAGCTGACTGTCAGATGAACAGCATACCTCAAGTACATCAATACCCCCCCTAGAAAAATGAGTTGCCACTTCTTCTTGAGTACCATAAATGTTTGCAAAAGTACGACATCATTTCCTGATAAACCCAATTCCGAATCTGCGGCTCGGTTTGCACATGAGTGAAGTACAATGGATCTAGGACCTGGTCAGGATTGAGGGACACTTGTTCACATCCGATACAGTCTGCGATCAACGAATGCATTTCCCGGGAATCAACTACCACTGGACCACTGGCGCCTGCGGTTGGATCTAGAGCTCTTGCTCCTCGTGGTTCACTTGCTGCGCAGAGTCCAGAATGGGATTCGGCTGCGAGAGAACCTGCAAGATCTGGTTCATGGTCTCTTCCAGGCGGGTCAGACGTTGACTCTCGATCTCGAGTTCCTGACGCGTGCTCTGGCCCTCTTCGATCATGTCCCACATCTCCAGGGGTTCCTGGGCAATCCAGCTGTCGACTTCTTCGGCCGTCGCAGGCCGAGAGGTCGGCATGGCCTTGGCCTTGGCTCGAGATTTGGGAGCCGAAGTCACGACGGCTTCTTGGGCTTCGATCTGGCGACGCACAAACGTCACGAAGGCCTTGTGTACCGGCTTGGTGGAATCCTGGTAATGTCCCAGGAACCATGTGACATAGCGACTGTCCTCGAGGAGTTTGGCAAAGGTCTGACCCTTCTTGGCTTCGCCAAATGCGATCTTGGCCTGAGCCAACTCTTCCAGCGGCATGGTCTCCGGATCGGAGGGAATTCCTGCCTCGGACGCCGTCTTCAGGGCCTTGAAACGATCAGCCAAGGTCGGAGTCTTCGACATGGATGCCATGGCAAACACCGGAGTCGGTCGGGTCTTGTGATCGCACTTCACTGTCATTGGGCACGAGAGTCTCAGAGGAGGCTCATCTGCATCACGACCCTCATGCTCAGAATCTCCGGAACGAGGACAGGATGTACGAGATGAACCGAAACCGATCCGACTGTCACTGCTTTGCAAAATAGTTTCTTCTTTCGTTTCTATCTGTTTGACTGGCGTTTGATGGGCTCGTGAAATCAACTGTGCAAAATCGAGAAGATATAGCTTCTTTTCGGACAAAGTGAGTGGCAGTCCGAATCCAAGCTTTCCAAAGTACACTGAATCGGTTGCGGTGTGGATCGATGCATCGAGCTACGAAAAACATTATTCGAAAGCAAAAATGGTGTACGTGATGGAACAACACAGATCTTCACTTTATACGGCCCTAGTGGAACAAGCAAAGCTCGGTTGCATTCCACAGTGCTGCTATTGCCATAACGGAAAATTGTTCTGCGTGGAACTTCCTGGACCTGAACATGTCCTGGCAGTTGAGCGGTGAGTTCGGACACCTGATGTTCTCCTATTACTGTCTGACTGGCACCTAGGTCGACGATGCCTAGAGTTCCATGACTTACGAAACATGTCGTCGCCTCACCCGTGGTGGGTGAAGACTTTGGCTCAATCAGAGGGCTTGTTGGATGGCTCAGTCTGGCTCGAAGCAATGGCATCAGCCTTTGCGAGCATTGCTGCATTCGGCGGACCATGTCCGTTGAATTCACTACCCTGTGGGGAAATGGCTTGTCTGCTAGAGTCATAAAAACTGAATGCCAATTTGTCCAAGGCGCCTGATTGATGAGAATCATGTCTTCATCCTCAGCGAAGTCGGACTCCTGCAAGGCCATTCCAGTGAAAGCACCATCTTTGGCAGCATTGAGTCCTGAGGATGCACTTTGGTTGCGGAGCGAACACTCGGCCTTCCAACGGCCTTTTGCCTTTTGCCCCACACCTCCGACAATTGGATTCTAAGACCCTTTGTGCCAGCGGTTTCCGTGGTCGGAACTCGAAGCGGTCGCTCTTCCCCTTGCGACCTTTGCCCATGCCCTTGCGAGGAGGGTTCCAAAAATTGGCCTTGTCGGAAAGCCTTTTTCGAGCTTCCATGTACGTGTTCATGCATGCGGCCATGTCGGGATCGGATTGCAATGTGTCCAACAAACTCTCCTCAAATTGGAGACATGCACACAACAGCATCAGCATCACCTTCTTCGGCCCATTGTTCCAGATGTCCGTCATCCAGAGGATCACCAAAAAAGGTCGGCTCCTCATCACCGGCAGTTGCCGGAGTCGACATGAACATGGCTGGTTCTTCATCAGCATAGAAGGTCGACGAGTCATACGTTTTGGCTCGAACATTCTGAGCTTTCCGGGCATGGACCTCGTGGAAGAACTTGCTCCCTAGCAGTTTGAGGTTTGACACCACTTCACGATAATCCAATGACCCTTGGGATTCCACGATCAAGCGTTTCTTGTCGTCTGAGCTCAAGGAGGAGTTGCGAAGAAGGATGTAAGCACGAAACTCATCAAGCCCAACCTTCATGCTTTTCAGCTCCTCAAACTGGTGGTCGTGACGTGCCAAGTAGGACTCATTGGTCTTGTCACCCTTTTGAACTGTGCTGTAAATCGCTCTCTCGAATCGCTCGAACTTATCCTCCAATCGGGATTTACCCCAGATTCCACCCAGTGCTTCCACAATCGCCTGAACTCCATCGGTGGAATTCGAGCGCAACACTTTGGGATCAACTCTGGATACCCGCTGGAAGGCGCTACCCTCGCACTGCATCGCAATCCTTGGTGCTAAGTAGTGCAACTGTTCTGGAGGCCATAGCTGAGCTAGAAATTCGACTTCGCGAGTCCATTCATTCAAGTCAGTTTCTCCAGTTTTGAACACAGGCACCTGATTGTATGGCAAATGACTCGATCCTCCAGAGCTCCCGGAGCCCGAAGAAGGATCATCACGAGCAGTAGCCATGCGAACCCAGCCACTTCCGAAAGTGCTTCAACACCTTCAGCGGCTTGGGCTCCGCTACCAGTGTAGATTCCCCACACTGGAAGCGTCGCCCTTCCCTCACCTATCACTTCTACCCACCAAGCGCTCCCGGGCGCGTCTTTCTCACACCGCAGCCTCCGAGGGTCGTCCACGACCAAGGGCGAACGGCCGTCCACGGCCTACCATCCAAGCCCCCTGACTTGAGCCCCTTCTCACGGGCACGAACACATGACACTCGGATGAGTGTCACCTCTCATGTGACAGCGTACCCTTCAAAGTCCAGGTTGCAAGGTTTGGCCACTGAAATCACATGGTATATATACATATGTATGTATAGCCGTAACACATCTCTCGCTGGAGGGGCATAGGAGGTTCGTGCGAAGGAAGAAATCAGTTTGCTCTTTGAAGCTTAAAACCTGCAACGTCGAGTCGAGCCTGACGGATTGTTGAAAACCTGTTTGCAACCTGAAGATAAGATTGATTTTCGCGCCTCTGCGCTTCAGCTCTGTCTGTGTGGTTGCAAAGGAACAACGTCTGGGAGGCCTCACAACAGTGAGCCGCTGAGAGCCGCATTTCGTTGACATTGGGAGACGCAACTCCGCATTGGGAAGGCCCTGTCGAACATGGAGCTTTGAGGTCTATGCAAGTCTGTGGATCCCATCACCAAAGGCTTGAATATGCTTGAATAATATGGTCACTTGCCTCCGTAGCGCGATATTGCAACTGCTCCCGATCCATGCTGGTCAGTGCCAGGGTGACCTGCTGAGACTGATCCGTCAAAGGCAATGAGAACAAAAAAGGACGCCGTTGCCTTTGTCTCCCTTAAGTTCTCGGCCTGGTCATGCTGAGTAAGCCGCAGAATCCTGCAGCAGGCAACAAGGCAACGCTTGTCTCGGGGCTGCTTGTTGTGTCTATACTTATACCAAGTCGTGAGAAAACACATGAAAATGATGCTGACTAGGAAGGAGAACGCAAGGTAGGCTGGAAATGCATAGCTGTGTGAACTGTTCGTCGCGATCGCCCAAGCCCCTCCTGTCCACCAAGCTCAGCAAAGCTGCGTTTGAACCTGGTATCCTCAGAGCGCGCAACAAACAATCAAATAAAAAACATCAAGGACGCTCTCAGCATGTCAACGCCGCAAGAAACAAAACTCCATACTTACAGTAGCCAAGAATGGCCCCACCATCCTATGCCATAGCCTGCGAACGCGCCTGGTTGTTTGACTTGTCTGCGAGTCATCTCGGGCCCGGCTGGCACACTGAGGTTCCAAGCAAGTTTTGCGCTGTTCTCGCAATCTCTACTTGTTTGCGCTCTTCTCGATTTGTTTGCACATGTTTGTACTGTACCCTCTTGTGCGTGTGCGCCCTACTAAAACAGTTAACTATTTCTCTATCCTTCTAGGGAAATGTTTCCTACAAGTTCTGTTGTCCTCTATGTAGTTGTCTTTGATGTTCTCTGTTTGTACATGTTTGTAAGTCTATTTGCTTGACTCTGCTTCTGCAAGTGTTTCTTTCCTCTACCGAACACTCTTGTACGGCACTCTCTTGTGCTTGCAGGGCACTCTCTTGTGGGACACTCTTGTAGACTCTTGTGGGCCACCCTTGTGGCAGTCTTGTGGTACAGTTGTAGAGAACTCTTGTGGCACACTCTTGTGGCATACTCTGGTGGGACACTCTTGTAGGGCACTCCTGTAGAAACTCTTGGGGGCATTCTTGTGGAACACTCTTGTAGGGCACACTCTTGGGAAACATTCTTGTGGCACAGTCTCGTGGGACACTCTTGTGGGACACTCTTCCTGACTCTGTGGTGGGACACTTTCGTGCGTCACTCTTGTGGGAGACTCTAGTAGAGCACTCTTGTGGCACTCTTGCGGGGCACTTGTGGGATACTCTTGTAGCGCACTCTGTGGTTGTGAGATACTCTTGTCAGACACAATCGGGGGAGGACACTTTTGTAGGGCACTCTCAGGAACACTCGCGCGGTATACTCTTGTAGGGAACTCTCGTGGCACTGTGTGATGAGATACTCTGACACTGTTTGGGGGACACTCTTGCGGGGCGCTCTAGGAAACACTCTTGCGGTATACTCTTGTAGGGAGCTCTTGCGGCGCCGTCTGGCGCGACACTCTCGTAGGGCACTCTCGTGGCACAGTCTTGCCACTTGACACTGTTGGGGCTCACTCTTGTAGGGCACTCTAGGAAACGCTCTTTCGGCTTTGTTGCGAACTCTTGTGGCACAGTCTGGTGGGGCACTCTTGCGGGCACTCTTGCGGGGGGTTCTTGTTGGACACTCTTGTCGGACAATTTTGCGGGGCACTCTTGTGGACACTCTTGTCGGACACTCTTGTGGAACACTCTTGTAGGACAGTCTTGTGCGGCATTCTCCTGCAGGGCACTCTTGTAGGCCACTCTTGTGAGGCACTCTTGCCCGCCGCTTGGTGACCACAAATCACCCTGCTCGGCAGCGGCGCTCAGGCCTGCTCCGCTTTGGCATACACAAAATGCACTTTCCTCCTAGGCCACGCCAAACTCGTTGCACGCACACGCTTTCCGTTCCCTAATGGCACGGAGCCACGCAAACGCACTTCCGCCAAGGCCGAGCCAGACTGCAGGGCACAGCGACATCACGGGCAGTAAGTGCCAAGCCGCATGGCACACCATCATCAGAGACCTAGCTTCGCTGCACTGCAAACCACTTCTGAGCCCGGATCTCCCACAACCTCCTCCCTGGAAGACATGTTCCAAGCAGTCAGTCGAAGCACCGCACAAACGATGTTCTTTTCCGGACGGCCTTGCGTCTAAGGCTTAAAGGCCCAAACCTGATTTTTTCTCAGCGCCTTTTGCTGCGCACTCCCTAAAGAAACGTGTTTTGACCCTAGACTTGACATGAAAGGTGAGCTGCACGCCTCCATGATAAACTCGCAGCTCAGCATCAAAGAAAGAGGCTTCATCAACTGAAAGTTCACCCCATTCTCAGAAACCCTCCCAATCAAAAAAGCTTTCGCCTGATTATCTTTCATCATGTGAAAAATAAGAAAGCCATTTGGCGCGTGGTACTGGGGCCTGCGCCACGTCACGGATCCATTTCCTGACTCCATCAACTGCTGCGTTCCCTTCTGAAACCCACTTGTATCCCAGGAACAGGGTGCCAGCACCGACTGTTGCCACTCGTATGCCTGCGGTAACTTGCAGCCAATGTGACACAACATACTCGTCCCATGCCAAGACTTTGAGGGCCTGCCTATATTGCACTGATCGGGCGAAGCCAGTGTGGGGCCGAGAGCCCTGCGCCTTCACGTCCATCATTGATGACACGGCATCAGAAAGTAAAAAACGTTTGGAGACTGAAGATTGCGTGAGAATGCGGGACTGAGCGAGCGCGACCTTCTTGGCTTGGGGGGAAAACCGGCTCATCGTCGGGCCTGGCCAGTTTTGCACCTTTACCGGCCCAGGCCCACTGCGTACGCTGGCCAAAACTTCTTCCCAGAGCCTTCTGGATTTCCGCCTGGCGACGAAACTGTTGAAGCTCTTCCACCTCTTTCTGGCCCAATTGAAGGCCGCTCTCAACCGCCTTTCTCTTGCCCTTTGCTCGCCTCTTGCTCCGGGCCCAGCTGTCAGTGGATTCAGACCCGGAAGAGGAAGTGCTCCTGGAGCGCCACTTTTTTCTTTTTGGACTTTTCCTTCTTCCTCTTTTTTTGCCTTCCACACGCACCACCACTTCAGTAGCCTGAGGGTAAGAAGGCTGGCTTTCATGCCAGTTCCAGCTTCCTGACTGACCCCATCTTCATCTGGAGGATGAAGAACCTTAGCCGTAGCCAGTATGGTGTCTTCCATGGCCCGGAGGGCCAGCGAAAACCGCATGCAGGAGCGCCAACCAAACGATACACCACAGCCCGGAGCTCCCGGAAGCTACTTCGCACTACATTTGTACTAGAAAATTTTGCCAGCTCAGACCGCGGGGCTCAGAACTAGCACTGCGTCCGGGACCTCCTCCAAAAGTCACGGATCACGAATCAAGTCTCCAAAACAAGCGCTTCGCACGAGGTTTCCTCCAAAAGCCACGCGTCAAAGCAGCTTCGCAATTCCAGCCACTCAAAAACCACAGCCGCCAACACGCCAACCCCAATGGCAAAGCGAGATTCACCTCCACGAAACGGGACAACCTGACGACTCCCTGCGCTGGCAACGAAAATTCAACTTCGACACTTCCAACACGCACAAAGCACTGCGCCCGTCACGAAGCGTTACCGCTACTGAACTGCAAAATTTGCACCACACCACACGTTCGGAATCATATCGACACTTTCTGAGCAAACTCACATCCACCAAAATCGCGGGTTTGGCTTAGACTTGTCACGAAGACAAAGCGTCGTTGCAACAGCACACTTCAACATGTTAGGTTTCCACGCTATTTCACACAAATCTGACCCTTCGGCCTTCCACCCAAGACCTTTCTCTTTCCCCAAGTCTTTTCAAGCGGTTGCGAACGGTTGCGGACGGTTGCAGACATCAAAGCAACATCGTGCGAACAACGAACTACCCCCAGACCCCAAAAAATAGACGGGAACCCTTCGATTGGCATTCGGGAACTTGGAAAATTGAAAGCTGAAAAGGTTTTCCCTTCAGTAGATCCAGTCAGTGGACCTGCCTGTATGTCAACCCAGCATGAAGAGAATGGACGAATTGAAGCTAGACTTACACTCGACACAGTTCCTTAAAGATTACGTAAAGACAAAAGAAATTATAAGAAGTGCAGTTCCATAGCACAGTGAAAAAAGCGGGCCCCACGGCGTCCCCTTTCAACATATCATGTTTCGTCCTGTATTTTCGAACACATGTACCAATACCTGCCCACTTGGTCCAGAGGTCTGAGTGTGCGTCTGGCCCGCTGCACCATCGCTCTCCATTGTAGTTCAAGAGTTCATTGGAGACAGCACATCTTCTGAGTACATATATTTGCGCATATGACTTGTGACAGCAATCAGCTTGCAGAATCACTGAGGCTGGTGGGAAACAGAAGTTTGTGTGCCTTTGACAACTCTTTATATAACAGAATGTTATGGGTGGGTGTTCCAGAAGATGTGATACCTCTCCAGCTGGGCTGCAACTAGCTCATGATGCGCTGCTGTGACCGGTTGGGAGGGCGAGTCTCTGAAAGTACCCCCAACAAAGATCGTGCCGCTGGAAGTATGCAGAAAGAAATCCAGAATAACTCTGGCTATAAGAAAAAATTGCTATGCATGAGCAGCAAAGGTATTCTCATCGCAAATAGAGCTGATGTCAAGATGAAAGTGGGCACTTCTAGTCAAGTTCATCCTGATTCGGAGGAACCCTGGCCCATGCCAATTGCCGAGCTCGGGATTGGCTCGTGTATCGGCCGTAAGGCCTCAAAATTTGAAGGCAGCTCCATTTGAGTGGCTTCAGCATTCCTCAAAATGTTCGTCAACATCATCAGCAAAACCACAAGCCCTATCAAGGAGCTGTCACTGCGAAAACCGAGCTTTTCTGCTTCAGCTGCAGCTGTTAGTAGGTGGACAAATCATAGTCATAGTGGCACAACAAGAATAGAGCCTACAAATGTTTGCTGCATTTATCCCGTCGAAATGATGGTTTGCTGAAATATGCGAATAACTCTCCGTCCAGCCACGCATCTCTTCGGCCCTTTCCTACACTAGGAAGCTCTCAAGAATCAAAAAACCAGCTAGTAGAAAGTTTAAAGAACATGCAAAGGCTGTCGCTGTTATCTTCTGCTCCAGGTTCTACCCTCCAATTTGGAAGGTGAAACGTCCACCTGTCTACTGGCACCACCTACTTGAGGCCTAGGCTCAAAATCCAAACAGATTGGTTGTGGGTCAGTAAAAGGTCTAGTCTGTAGAGGCACGATTCAGCCTGAAAACTGTGTCAGTTTTGACCCACACCATTTTCTTGCTGTACAAGAGTCAAATTGCGTGCAAAAATCTGTCAACCACCCCTCGCGGCATGGCTCCACACGAATACGCGGCAGCGATCTATTGCAGCAAAGTACTTGACCCCACACAGGTTTGGCTTTGCCACTGCCACTTTAGTGGACCTCACGCATTTGAGCAACAAAAGGCCCAACTGCCAATTCGTGCACAACCTTGCCATTTTGGAAATGGGCATCTGCCATTGGATTGCCAGCAGCGCAGCTTCGCAAAGGGCAACCAGACCGTCTAGTGACATTGGCTTGCAGTCCGCGAGTTGGAGAACTAGTAAATGTCACAATGGGCATACATGGCTCTACAACACTCCGCATTGATAACACTTCGCAGCAATTTCAGAGAAAACTGTTGAAAACAGTTTGGGTCGAATGGGTATGGAACTACGCTCTTTCGAGGTTAGCGCCCTGTTGCGCTCGTGGTTCACAGGCGAGCTGCGGTTAGCGCCCTGTTGCTACGAAACAGGTGTCATCGGTGAGAGATCTCCCCTGCAGATGCCCACGCCCAGTGCAATGCCGTCCCATTCAGCGAAGCATTCTCCTAAAGTGGTTCATATTTCTTGGACTCCTAACGACTTGGTTTCCAGAGACATAGAGGGGAGAGAACTGTAAGCCCCAGTGTAAAGATAGGCTTTCCGCTTGAATCACTGGCATTGCTTCCAATCTACGCCAGCTAAGCAGCTCATCTTGTTACCAATCTATGGAGGCTGCAAAGTTCCTTTCCAAGTGGAGTGAGAAAGATCCACCCTCGTGCCTCATTCCACCCTCACACTTGTTAACTTGCCAGGAATTGCTAACCTTATATATTTTGGTTGAAGGTCGAGGAAAGCTTTAGAATCTCCTGCACGAGACCAGCTGGGAAACAACTGTATTTGTCAACTATGATAGCACCCGATATCCCCCAGTTGCGCTTGTTCACCTTCATCATTCGCGGTCATAGATTTATCACCAGTTACAAATTGGATCTGCGCTTGGCAACCATGAAAATCCTGACATTGGGAAACCCATTTTCCTGCAATCAAGTTAAGTATCTATATCAAAACCAGGCCTTCGGGCCTTCTCCATTATCATCGCCGAAAGACCTCAATCATGGCTGTAAATAGAGTTAGCTTTCGCCTTGCCACATTCAGTTGAATGTCTGTTAACCCTTTTCAAGCTTTTGGTTGCCAAACCCTCCGAGTCCTCATTCAGCACAAACATGCTGGCGGATCAGATCTTTCTGTCCGTGCACTCTAATTTTCTAAGTTGCCAGCTGCTTCTTCTGTTTCCAGACCTTGGCTGAAACCATATCCAACCCAACCCCTGGCTGTCGCTGTTAACCTGGCTGAGAATAAATACTGTCCTGGAAAGCTGAGCTCAAACTATGGGTGCATGCGCTCCTTCAACCAAAGGAAGACCCCCTACAGTAGTTGCCTACTTTTCTCACCTGCCGCGGCTGCAGAGGCACCACACTGGCACTCGCCACCGCATGTGGTTCTTTGCTGTCTGCCGATCGTGCTCGCCGCCTCACTAGCCGGCTAGGCCACCATTTGGGCACGGAATTTGTGACCAAGTGCGCTGGATGTTTTTTTGTTAGCCCGCTCCTTCTTAATTAAGTAGGCACCTTAAGTAAGGGAGTAAGCTCCTGGATACTTAAGCTTCTAGTAACTGGACGCGGGATAGCTCACGCTTCTAGACTGTTAGGGAGTACAGCTCAAGTCCCTACGCAAACGCTGGCGGTTTCGCACAATCCGAGTCCAAGCCCAGCCTGGTGATATTGCAAAGCATGCAATCTTCAGAGTCGCTGGTGGGGCAGTCCACATGGATGAAGGTGTGCTGGCAATGCTGTAAAGGCTTAAGAAGTGGGACTCTTTGTGCCCATGAACATGCATTGTCATGGTTTCGGCTTCTCTCTCTCTCTCTCTCTCTGACTACACGTAAGGATTTTGGAAAGCACATTTCGACGGACACTTTCCAAGTCCAACTGATCAAGTGAGCTGGCCTTGAGTTGCACACAGTGGCCCTTGTAGTTGCAGTGGTGGTTCAAGCGCAGGACTTAGAAACATCTGGACGTCGCTACCCACACTGTGAAAACGGGGCACCCTTCACCCGAAGGGATGCAAAAACAAAAGAGCACAATCCCTATTCCCACCGACTGATACATTGCTGTTTCATGTTTTTGCTAGGAACTCTGAGAGAAGTTCATTAACCCGCACGGTCCAAAAGTGAGAAGTGGAAAAACTTTTTGTTGCTGCAAAGTAAGGACTCGATTTCTTGTCTAATGCGAATTTATAGAGGCTGCCGGATTCGCTTTGATAACACATCATGTTGCAAGTCTGACGAATACCAAAAATGCAGAAAGTTGTGCAAATGGATACACGATATCATACCACCAAGGGCGGGTGGCAATACCCTCAAGTTCAGCAGTTCAATCAGCGTGTTATGTCTGTTTCTGTATGTATGTCTTTAAAATGTGTGTGTGTATATATATATATACATACGTATGATATGTGTGTGTTCCTCCTCAAACAACCCAGCTACCCATAAACCTGATCCACCCGACAACTGCTGAACTCGTCGAAATCTAAGATTTGCACGGCTCAACTCCGAGGACTCAGCTCCACTGGTGGGCACCTGCAAACCAGTTCGGAAAAACACGGAAAGCGGAGCAGCTGCATTTTATTGCTGGGTAGTCGGACCTCTTTTTTTCATGGTTTTAACGGTGTTGTACGTACACTACGCAGAAGACCACCTGCCCAAGTCGAACGGCAGAGAAAACAAGTATATAACCTTACACTTGTCGGACCTAAGTCTGTCGGGTTTTTACGATGTTATACGCACATGACACAAAAAGACTACCTGCCCAAGTCAAACGGCAGAGAAAAACAGCCAAGTGGACGAACATCGCCGCAAAAAAGTAAAATAACAGCAGCAAAGCCTTCAACATAGATCCCACAGCCCCAATCACTTCCAACATACCTCCACGAGAAGCCCCAACAGAGCCCCAACATTGGGCGAAACGTGCCAACATGGAGAAGGATATGCCCTAAGAATGCACCAAGATCGCCGAAGATTGGTGCAAACATGCCCCAAATTTGACTGCCCATTGGAGCAAGCTTTCGTAAGCAACAAAAACGACAAAACTGTCAAAGCCACCTTTCTTACACTTGTCGGACCTCATTTTCATGGATTTATGGCGTTTTACGCACAGTACGCAAAAAACCACCTGCCAAGTCAAACAGGGCAGAGAAAAAGCAGCCAAGTGGACCAACATGGCCGCAAAACATAACAGCAGCAAAGCCTTCAACATAGCCCTGATCTAGACCCCACGGCCCCAATCACTTCCAACATACCTCCACGAGAAGCCTGAAGAGAGCCCCAACATTGGGTGAAATGTGCCAATATGGAAAAGGGTA